CCCTGGGGGATCATGGTGGAGCATCACCCACCCCGGGGGATCAGGATGGAGCACCACCTACCCCGGGAGGATCATGGTGGAGCACCACCCACCCCGGGGGATCAGGATGGAGCACCACCCACCCTGGGGGATCAGGATGGAGCATCACCCACCCCGGGGGATCAGGATGGAGCACCACCCACCCTGGGGGATCAGGATGGAGCATCACCCACCCCAGGGGATCAGGATGGAGCACCATCCACCCTGGGGAATCATGGTGGAGCACCACTCACCCCGGGGGATCAGGGTGGGGGTACCACAGCACTGCTGCCTGCCCTGAGCATCCCCGGGGGTGTGGGGCAGAGTGGAGGCCCACAGCACTTTGAAAGATCAGGTGGGCTCCTTGGAGAATGGGGGAGCATTTGCAGGGCTGCTGTATCCTTAGGCTACCCTTTACCCTGTAGGCCCAGCTGGGGGTGACAGGCAGGGGAGGGCTCTCAAACACCACCAGAAATGCAGGCAGCCTCTGCCAACAGCGGGCATGGCTGGGGTCTGTGTAGGCCAGGCAGAGGCTGAGAGAGGAGAAGCCTGGATTCCTTCAGGCATCCACAGAGGGTGGGCTTACCAAGGGCTCACAATCAGAGGCCAGAACCAAATCCTGCCTGCCTGGCCTCTGTCCTGGCCCCTACCCCAGTCTTAGGGCTGCCCAGGGCAGGCGTGAGGCGTTTCTGGAATCCTGAAACCTCAAGGTGGGTGAGAGTTGGTGAGAGGGTGCATTTCCTGAGTGGGTGTCCACCTTTCAGAGGGATTCAGACACCTGTCCTGCCCCTGCTGCTACCTGCACCTGCTCCTCAGAGACCCCTGGGCCCCCTGGCCCACAAGGACCTCCAGTAAGTCCACAGTCCCTCTCCTGGGATCCAGTCCCCTTGTGCCCCCATTAGCTGGCCACCAGCCTTGGCCTGCAGGTCGTGGCCTCTCCTGAACACCTCGAGGTCTGTCTACCTCACCAGGCCCATCTGGCTGGAGCCTGGACAGTCTCCCCACTAGGCTGGGCCTGACTCCAGGGAAAATGGGACGCTGTGTCTGCGGCCATGGCGTCTCACACCTGATGCAGCCTGTCTGGTGTGGCCTCCGGCATGTCCCCGTCACACCATGTGAATGGTGGTCAGTCCACCTGTGGCCTGCTGGAGCTCTCACCTGGCTGTGCCCATATCAGCTGGGCAGGTGCTTCAGGGGGTGGGGCGGCCCCACTCCCCTTAGGGGCATGTCTCCAAGGTTCTGAAGGCCCAAGTGGGAGCTCCAGCCCTATGGAGCTGCCTCTGCAAGCCCCAGGACCAGGGCCCCTCACCCAGTCTTCCAACCCCACGCAGCAGTGGCATCTGTGACTGATATAGGGTGGGTGGGATTCGAACCCAGCCTTGCCCAGTCCCAAAGCCTAGTTACTCACTGGGAGAGAAGGACAGAAGAAAAGTCCTTGTCCCTGGGAGCCATACCATTCTCCACCTGGCCCCATGCACAGGCCCGGGGGGTGGGGGTGGGTAGGGGCACAAGCAACTCAGCCTGGGGGTGTGGCAGGGCGGTGCTTCGGGGTCTTGGGATGGGTGAGTGGGCAGTTCCTTGTGCCTCTACAGGGTCTCCCCGGGAGAAATGGTGCCCCTGGAGAGCAGGGTTTCCCAGGGCCCCGGGTAAGTGCTGGGGTCTGGGGAGGCCTGGGTCTTACTTCCAGGAAGGACCGCTCCCCCCAGCATACCCAGACAGTCCAGTGGACTAGATGTGTACCACTCTGCCCAGTGGAGTCAGGGGTGGCCCCTGACAGTCAGTGCATGGCCCGTTTCCCCCACTCTGGGCGGTGGCAGTGACCCATTCCACAGACAGGAAACAGGCCCCTGGCCATGTCTGTGCTTGAGGAGTATGAAAGGGTTACTGAGACATCATTCCAATGACAGCTGATGCCCACAGTCACAGGATCCTCTCTGCCTGCTTTAGTTTGTTTATTAAAAAAACAAAACAAAACCCAACCACAGACACACCAGGTGTTTGCCACCAAGTGCAGAGCCACAGGGAGGATCCCATCACCCAGGATCGTCATCCCCTTGCCCTCCCAGAAAGCTCAGCTCTGCCCCCAAAGGCTTGCGTATGTTCCCCCACACCGGCTCGCGCAGGCCCCCTCACCATGGAGGGGCCGAGTGGTGTGGAGGATGCAGACAGAGTCCAGCCCCTCTCAGCCCTCTACCTGTGTCTCCAGGGAGAGCCTGGGCCACCAGGACAAATGGGACCCAAGGGTCCTGGAGGCCAGCAGGGGTCACCAGGAATCCAGGGCCACACGATCCAGGGGCCCATGGTAGGTGTTCTAAGTCCTCCCCAGACCCTTCCAGCCCCCTTGCCCCTCCTTGTGACTGAGTCCATCCTTACCCTTGCCCTGTAGGGTCCACCCGGGGTCAAAGGGGAGAAGGGTGATCATGGACTCTCAGGCTCACAGGTAGATCTGACGTGGGCATGGGGGTGGAAGGCAGCCCTATGCTCAGGTATGACCTTGGCCTTGGCCTGTCTGGCCACTTCTGTTTTGCTCAGGGTCCCCCTGGTCACCAGGGTACCCCCGGGAGAGTTGGCCTTCAGGGACCAAAGGTACTGGCTCTGGGCCCGGAGGGTACACTGGGTGGCAGAGAAGTCACGGGAGAGGGCTTGGAGATGTAGGCATGGTGAGGGGGGGTGGTGTTAGGGAGGGCTGTCCTTGCTGGGTTCTGCAGGGTGGGGGGGCCACCATCCAAGAGCTGGTCCAGCTTGGGGCTAGCCTGCACTCAGCGCTAAGTGTAGACAAGGACCCAACCTCACGGTCAAGGTGAGCAGGGGCTCAGCCTTCCTTTGCCCCCAGGGAATGAGAGGACTGGAAGGGACTGCTGGCCTGCCCGGACCACCTGGCCCTAGGGTAGGACTGCCTCCATCTTCCCCACCCACCGTGTCCCCTGAGGGTCACCGGGGCTCTTGGGGACTATCTCACAGAGCGCTCTGTGTAGGCTGCAGCCCCAGCACCCCAGCTCCCTGTTGGCTGGCCCTTGTGACCCGGACCACAAATGCACCCTAATTCCACAGGACAGGAGGGTGCCGAGGTCTTGGGTGGGTCTGGGGCAGCTGGCTGGAGTGGCTGGTTTTCTTCCCTTCTCAGGGTCTTTTTTCCTCTTGCCTGTGGGATGTCAGGGGCCACTAAGTGAGGAAGGGGGGGCATTACACAGAAGCCTTGAAGCAGTCTTTCTGCCGCCAAAGGCTGAGAAGGGGTGCCCACTGCCTCTACTCAAGTCAAGTGCACCTCCACTCCAGATCCCGGGGTCTGGGGTCTAGGGGTTTATGTGTGAACAGGAAACCCAGGGGCTGCTAAGAGTGGACAGGCAGTTGTGGCCACTGCCACAGGGATTAGCGGTCCCAGGCTGGGAAGGGAGCCCTGGGTGAGGTATGGGGTTGGGGGGTGGGAACTCAACATCCAGGGGCCAGGCTGGCTAGATGAGGCTGGAGTCCTGACTTTGCTGCTTTGCAGGGGGCCCAGGGCATGGCAGGTGCCCGGGGGGCTGGTGGAGAGCGAGGATCCCCAGGGGCTGTGGGACCCACGGTAAGCCCTCTACCCACCACACAGACACGCTCCTTCCCGAGAGGTCCAGGTACAGAGCAGGGCCCCCTGGGAGCCTGGAATCTGATGTTCAGGGTGCTCTGAGATCAGAGCCTAGCCCAAGCTGGGGTGCAGGTGAGCTGTCCTCATGGGGTCTCCTCCCTAGCCTACCAGCAGTGTTGGGGAAGACTGGGCACTGCAGCCCTAGCGTCTCCAGCCAGGAGCAGGGACCAGCTGGTCAGGCCCAGGTCTGAGCTTGCCTGCCCTTCCTGACTTTTCTCCTCCTTCTTCACATCAGGGGCTGCCAGGGCCCAAAGGAGAACGAGGGGAGAAGGTAAGTGGGCAAGGCTGGGGCTCCGGTCAGAGCAGGGGAGGTGCAGCCCACCTAACAGAAACTACCTACCTGTCACATGGTATCCCTCACACTCATCCTCCACAGGGGGAGTGCCAGTCCCTCACTGCCATCTACCAGCTTGTGAACCAGGCCTGTGAGTCCGCCATTCAGAGTGAGTGCCAAGCCTGCGACCCCCTCGCCCAGCTCCCGTCCTGCTGCTGTGAGGGTCTTGCTGCGTCACTGACCATGTCCTCCCTCAGCTCATATGCTCAAGTTCGACTCCTTCCTCCGTGGGAACAGTCGGCCCCCAATGCCTATGTTGGAGAAGGCGGGGAGGCCAGGTGCGCCCGGACCCCCTGGTGTGCACAGCGGAGCTCCGTCTCCCAGAAAACTGGTACACACAGACCACCCTAAGGACAGAGGTACGACCTCCCCTAGGGAGACCCAGGTGTATGTGTCTCCAGACCCATAGGGTCTGGACGCCCCCTGCTGGCACTGGCTGGATAAAACAGGACTCCCCAGCCCACCAAAGGGGAGGAGTGCTGCTGGACACCTCAGGTCTCCATGGGGTGAAGGACTAAGCCTTCAGGAAAGGGTGGACCCCTGGACCCTTTGTCTCTGCACAGGGACCCCATTTTGTAAGTCCTCTGTCTAGGAGGCTGGCAAGTCACACCCTCACTCAACCAATCATTTGCAGGCTAGTGACCGGTGCCTGCCCTCCTCAGTGGCCCAGCCCAGGGAGGGACTGTCCCAGCCCACCTCCCCTCCAGCCAGAACTGGTCAGGAAGCCCCCTGCAACCCCGGTTCCTACAGCCCCCTAACTGCTCCCTTTTCTTCAGGGGAGCCTGCAGTCTTCAGGCCCACAGAGAGCTTAACTCCTGGACCCTGAGTGAGAACACGTGGACCCCAGTGAGGGAGGAGGAGCTGGGGAGTTGAGGGGGGCATTTGATGGGTGCTGTTGGGGGTGAGGAGCAGGCTCGGGCCCAGGTGGAGGCAGATTAGAGCCCAGCGGGGTGGCAGGTGGGAGCAAGAAGGGCTCAGAAATGTGTAATCAACGGGGGGCCGACCGTGACAAGGTGGGTCCAGGGCTGACTTGAGGAAGCTGTGTCTAAGAGCCCTTCATGTAGTTCTGATCGGTGCGGCCCTGGGGACTGTCTGCTGAGGGGACGGGCACCATGGTCTCAGGTGAGGGTGCTGGGCAGGGCTAGGCTGACCAGTCACCCTTCCCTCCCCAGGATGGTCCCCATGCTACCCCATCTGACTGCACCAACCTCAGACCCTCCTTGCAGGACTCCTTGGACATTGGAAGGCCATATCGGGGGTCTGCGGGTGGAAGGAGGGTGTGGGCACACAGAGGTGCTGCAGAGCCCCTCACCTGTGCACCCTGGAACATATAAACCTCCATCTGACACTGACAGTGTGAGGTGCCTGCTCATTGGGGGCTGGGGAGGGTCTCTCTCTGCCACTGTGAGTTCCCCCAGGAAGGGGTCTTTAGGGAGGCCCACCCCTCAGCTCTTCCTGTGCCTCAGGACTCTGCTCCCCCTCTTTTCCCATGATGCCCTAGTCTTCTGGATAGTCTTGGACATGAAGGTGGGGGTGCACTACTTCTGAAGTCGGGCCCACTGCCCACACTCTCAGCCCGCCAGCCCAAATCTCCCTGGACCCCAGCCCATTGGCCTCCTGCCCCTCAGGCCCTGAGCCTCCCCTGTCCAGAGCCCCTGAGGCCACTTTCTCCCTCCAGCCATGTCTCAGGACCTTCCTTGGACCTCAGCCCATGCACAGCATCCTGTGACCCAGTGCCAGGCGATGTGTTCTGATCGCTGGGAGGAAGTACCGCATCGAGGGCTCTCTTAGGCCTGCGGCTCTGGTGACCTTCAGCAGAGACAGGAGTGGGCTCAGGTCATAGGGACATCCTTATGATTCTGGTCACAGCCAGAGCCCAGGGCAGGGAAGAGCCTCTCCAGGAAGGGTTCTGGGTAGAAGAGTGGGAACCCTGGTGTGTCGGAGGGCAACAATGGGTCCTTCCTTGTACTGACTGCTTCCTGCCCCTAAAAGTCTCCCTCTCTGGGGACCCACCAGCATTCTGGGCCACCACGCCCTCCCCCCCCACCGACCCTTCCCCTGGCCTTCAGTTTCACCTCAACTACCCATTGGTCCCTGCTGCCGCATGTCACCCCCGACTTTGCAAATAGGCGCCACATCCCCAGTGCAGCCTGCTGTCCAGCTCCCTGTCTCATGGACACTTGTTACTCTTGTGAGAAGCTGGGGAGGGGTCTCTCCTGACCTCCTGTCACACCCCGTGCCTAGGCCCCACTGCCCTTTCTCCATCCTCCCCACCCACTCAGCCACGACAGAGCACAGCTCACCTTCCTCTCAGCTCCCTCACAATGGCTGGACATAGAAGCACCAGGATTATTCTTGACTCACCACCTCCCCATGGCTCCCCGTCACACTCAGGGTGGGGTCCGGACCCCTCCCAACTACCTAAGGCCTCCCTGGCCTCCCTAGCCTGCCCTCAGCTTTTCCTAGTCCCTCTCCACTCGCTAGGGTCCCCTGACTAGCCCCTACCCACACCTAGCTTTGTTTGTTCCCTCTCCATTGGGCTGTGCCCCCTGCGGGCCCCCCTACCGGCCTCCCCTGCTCTGAGGATCTGGCCCAGAAGGCAGTCAGACTTGGTGTTGGGTGAGCATCCTTCCTGCGCCCAGCCCATCTGATTCCTCACGCAGATCGTGCACCCTTTGTGCCCTGTGTGTCATGCCTCTCGTACCTCTGCTTGTCACCCTGGCTCCCCACCACCCGGAAAGGGAGTCTGGGTTAGGGTGAGAGCCCAAACCTTTGTGTGGTGGGGAATTAACTTATCAAACCCTCTTTGCTGTCCAGTCCTGCTGGTGCCTGAAGTAAATACAGAAAGTTCTGTTTCCTTTCCTAAACAACGATCTCATTATTATATTCTCACCGTTCCCACTTAAATAGCCAAGTTCAAAAGCAAAACAGTCATTTCAAGGGGGAATAAAAACTATTAAAAGTATTAAAAAGCAACAGAGAGAGGTCCTAGATGCTGATATAAGAAGCAGTCCTCCCAGATAATGGGCTTGCAAACACGCTGCACAACCCCAAGTATATGACCTGGACATATACTTGCAAAACAGCTCAGTCTGCATCCTGAAGGGCGATTAGCTCATCGGTTCCAGAAACAGAACTGCCTCCTGGAAACAGGACTAAAAGATTCAAGAGAAATTTGCACCCTGTAGAGGACACCATCCCTTCCAGCCCATGTGAGCTATCCACACAGATGCCCACACTAGGCCAGAAAGTGCCTCAGAGGCCAAAGAACCATGTTCCAACCATGACATAATAAAATTAGAAACAGATAGCCAAGAACTCTCCTAGGCTTGTGCAACAAATACACATCTAAACAGATCCTAGGTTTTAAAAGTCACAAGCAATATTAAAACATCTTTTAGCATGATGGTCAATGAAAGCACAACATGGCAAAACTCAAGAGATGCAGCTAAAGCAGTGTCTAAGGGCAAAGTCCTAGTCCTTACCACAGATACTGAAGATGACAAATTTTGAGAACAATGATATGAGCAGGTGACTGTGTCCCTAAGGAAAGATGACCACCTCAGTGGTTTCTGTCCCAAAGCTGAGCCAGTGTTAAATTGTGTGACCAGTGCCAACCATGACTGGGTCCACTCCCTTTCTCAAGTTTCCTGTTGACAGTGAAGTTAAATGTGCCTGGGTGAACCGGAAGAGGCGTCTAGAGCAGTGGTGTCCAGGAGTGAACTGGGGGAGGTGTCCAGGGGAAGGCATTTCTGAGGAGCTTTGTCCAGGTAGTGGGGCTGAAATCATGCCCTGGGGTCACAGGGCTCTCAGAGACTTCTGATAACTCGTTCCAGGTTTTTGGAAGAGACATCTGAAGACCAAAATCACTGAGAGAGACAAACAGAAAACCCATGCCAGACCAAGAGCTCATGTTCTCTCTGGTCCTTTAAAAAAAATCATAGTATCTTCAAAGAGAGAAGGATGAATCTCAGTAACATTAACAAAGAGTTAATAAGCATACAGAAAAACCAATTGGTGTGAGATCCCTACACAGAAAAGCAACTACAGCAGAGACAGCGTCAGAGCTGGTGGCATGGAGAGACAGAGCAGCTGCGGGCTCTAGGCCCATGGACTGAGTAAGGCTGTGTGTCTATGGACATTTAAATGAATTTATGTTTTTTGTTCTGTTTTGTTTTCCATGTGCACATCAAATATTTTTGCTTTGTTCATCTGTGACATATATGATGTAAATGGAGAACCACAGGGGAGAAGCAGGATAACTTGTTACAGGCGGGGGATTGTAATCATTGAGATGAAGCAAAGTGTATGATTGGTTGAATGTGAAGCTAATGATCTTGTCTGTAAACTGCACTCAATTCACAATAAAAAGCTTAAAAAAGAAGAAGAACCAATTGAAAATACTGTGGGCGGGAAACATAAAAGAGGAAATAGAAAATCTATAAAGCAGGCGGAGTCAAAAATGAGCACAGGTCAAAACATGCATGAGCTGTGTGACCAGGTTCAGGAGTCTCCTAGGAAACTTGCACAAAAGACACAAGGAAACAAACTTCCAGTGTTAGCATGCACATAATGAAGAGTCCTGGTGAAGCTGTGTTTAAATGCTGGGCTGTTAACAGACGAGTCCGTGGTTCAAACCCACCAGTGGCTCTGTGGGAGAAAGATGGAACAGTCTGCTTCCAAAAAGATTTGCAGCCTCGGAAACCCTATGGGTAACTATGAATAAGAATCGACTTGGTGGCACTGGGTTTTGTCCTCATAATGGAGACTCCAAGAGAAAAGACACAGGAAGCAAATGTCACTACTGTTGCTGTTATGTGGCACTCAGTTGGTTCTGACTCACGGTGCCCATGTGACAGGTACACCCATAAGCAGACCAGGTCTTTTTCCCACAGAGCCTCTGGTGAGCAGCTGAGTTTTTAACTGTCAAGCAAGCAGGGTAGCTGATGATGCACTTAGTCCTCACTCGTCAACTACCTTGTTATCTGACATTTCGATTTTACAACTTGGATAAACTTTCAGGCCGCACGTCTTCTGGTCTGGGCCCCAGACAAGCCATCCACATGATATATTGGCAGTCTCAGTGCTGACCTGACCACAAAAGGGATGGTGGCCACCTGGCTGCCGGATGCCTTCTTTACCGTATCAGGAACATCTCAGTGTAGCAGGGAGGGTGCAGGTTGGGACAACTCGAAGTTGCAGGTGGGCAGGGGGAGCATGGGCAAGAGCCTGAGAGTGTCCGGGAGGTCAGTGGGAGGAGGCAGGAAGTGGGGAAGAGGGATGACAGAGCTACATGGGGCTGTAGGGCCAGGAGAGTGGGGACCCCACCCAGGGCAGGAGGCAGGAGGCAGGAGGCAGGAGGCAGGAGGCAGGAGGCAGGAGGCAGGAGGCAAAGGGCTGTGGCCAACACTCTACCACCACCACCACGCCCAACCCTTTCAGGCCCCAAAGAGGTGGGAAGGTGTGATGGGGAAGGGAGACCCAGTGCACCATGTGTGTCCTGAGACGTGCCAAAGACAAGGTGCTGAGCAGCTGGGGTAGGGGGCACGGGCATCGAAGGAGGGAGTGAACGGTTTAGACTGCGTTGGGCATGTGATCAGCTCAGCTGCTGTAACTGAGAGCAGCTGTGGATGGAACAGAACTGAATGGGCATGGCTGTGAACCAACAGGACTTTATCACGGGCTGAGTTTGATTGCCTTGATTAAGTGTTCTTGAGGGTGTAGACTAGCCGGAAACTCCAAACACTTCTGGAGGGACTGTAAAATTGCTTAACCACTTTGAAAAAGTGTTGAACAGCTTCATATAAATGTAAACATATCTCCACCCCATGACCCACAAGTCCACCTCGGGCTAGCTGCCCAAGAGAAATAACAGCATGTGTCCACACAGACACAATGTTTAGCTCCTGGAAGCTTAATGCATAATCGCCCAAAGTCCCTCAACAAGTGATGGATAAACAGATGGTGTTTTCGTTTATTCAGACAAAGGAATACAACAGCGATAAAGAGAGGAACAACCACTAACGTATTGCATTGTACTACGTCAAGGAAACCAGACACAGTGACATTGCTGAGTTCCATGTGTGTGAGGTCGTCGCGGGAGTAGGAGCAGCTAGGAGGGAGCTGGAAGGAGCTTTCTGGGTAATGTCTATGCAGAGAGTGAGGTCTGGATGGAACAGCTGCAGTCCTTGGCCCCTGAACCTGTCACTAGGATCCCATTTGGAAATAAGGATTTTCCTTTGGTATGTTAATGAAGCAACATCTGGAATAGGCTGGGTCCTAACCCTAATGTGTTTTGAGTTCTAAAAGGAGCAGAGCAGACAGACATACACAGGGCAGACAGACACCACGTGAAGACGCAGCGACCCACCCAAGGACTGCTGGCAGCTCCTAGAAGGTGACTGGGGTTCAAAGGCCCTCTCCCTGGAGCTTGCGTCCTGAATTCAGGCTGTCTCCAGACTGTGAGACAGTTCAGCACCCCAGGAAATGAACACAAGTGGAGTCATGTCCCTTGGGTGTCTGCATTTGTAAACTTCATTAGGAACCACGTGTTTGACTGCATGTAAATTTTATCTCAATGGAGAACACTGGAGATCCCTGTGCTAACGGCAATGGCAGTTTATTTGGCATGATGAGAATGTGGGCGATTTTTTCCCTCTTTTCTGAATTTTCTGACTTATTTTTGAGTCTCAAAAAGATTTAAAAAGCAAAGGAAGACTGGAGTGTTAATCTCAGCAAAGTAACCAGTGGCCCCTCAGCGTCACCGATCCCAGAAACTGCACCGCCAGCTGCCCACACTATCGGCTGCTCCCCACACACCACAGCTGGCCCCCGCTGCGTAACTCAGACAGAGGGACTTACCTCTGAGGCCTGCATACACGTCTCTCCTCCAGGCTGGGTGGGTAACCCAGGTGGGTCCACAGTCCTGGGGGCAAACTCGCCTGCCTGGCCCTCTCCCAGTATTCAGGAACCAGAGCATCAAAGCTTCATTGCTGTGTTTGGGGAACACTGAGCCAATGTGATGGGATTGGAGGGTGCTGAGTCAGAAAACGGCTGGGGGACACTGGGCCCCGGGGATGGGGTTGAGGGGATGCTGGGCTGGGGGGCTCTGAGAGGGGGTAAATGGAACACTAGACAAAGGGGTCCAGGGAACAGAGTTGGGGGAACGCAGGGCTGGGGGATCTGGGCTGGAAATGGAAGGGGCGCTGGGTCCAGGAAATGGAGTAGGAAGGATGCTGAGTCCAGGGGATGGGGTGGGAGGGCACTGGGCAGGTAGGCTCTGGGTCCAGGGGCTGGCTTGGGGGGAATGAAGGACTGGGGGGGTGCTGGCTTGCCCCCACAAGTCCCCTCCATCTCCACCCCTATCTGGAAGGACCAGCAGCTGGAACAGCTGGGCTGTGAGGGAGACTTGGTGGGGTCTCTCCTGAGGTCTGCTGGCCCTGGACTACAGAGGCTGGGCTTTACTGACCCCACAGTGTGTCTGCTCCACAGTGTTTCCCTGGGGTTCTTGTCTGTCCCACCATCCCTACCCCGAGTCTACCTGGCTAAGCCCCCCTCAGGATTTGCCCTCTGGTCATACCGTAGCTGAGCAGGGCAGTCCTTCCTGGGTGTGCCCAGAGTCCTATTTCTCCACTGCAACGAGGAGGCACCTCACAGAGGTGTTGGGGTTCAGAGGAGAGACCTGCATTCAGGGAGCTGCCTCTCCTCTGGTTCCTTGGCCCATGCCTGTGCCTGCCTTCAAAGTGCCACAGCAGTCCATCCCCACCATCTTGTGACCCTGGAAGGGCAGAAGCGGCGAGATCCCCTGGGGCTAAATGTCCACCCCCATGGGTGGACTTACTGGAAGGCCCACAAAATCACATCTTTAGGCCCCTCAGGTACAAAGCTTGGTTTTGACTAACTTAGCCCAAACCAACAAATCCCTGCTTAATCCTGTAATGACCTCAGTGTTGAAGGGAAGCAATCTGAGGGTCCTAGAGGCCCAGGCCAGTGGTAGAAAGTGAGGCTCGGGTGGGGTGGTGGAGGAGTGATCGGACCAGGTATCTGGGTCTTCTAGACCCTCAGGGATAAGGGGTTCTTGGGGTGGGAAGGTGGTTGAGGGCTCTTGGACCCCCATCTGGTCAGGACCACCAGAGGGCTCAGAGGAGCCAGGGCCTGATCCTTGAGGTAGGAGGCCACTTTCACCGAGCTCTGTATAAGCTTTAATGGGACGTGGCCTGGGACAAGCTTTCCAGCTCATGGCCCCTCCCAGACCGGTGCTCCCACCATGGACTGTCTCTCCCAAGGCTGGCTCAACACAGGGATGGAGGTGGGGGTGATGTGGCAGCGAGTCTGGGCATCCATAAACAGGCACTGTCCAGCCAGCATCCTGTGCCATGCCAGCTTTCTGGGTGGCTCTAGATCATGCCGGCCAGCCAGGGTGGCAGGAAGAGGCCGATGGTACCCAGGAGGCAGACGATGACGAACACCCAGAGGAAGATGCGGTCGATGACCATGGCCACGTACTTCCAGTCTTCCTTCACCTGTGGGAAGACCAGGTCAACCAAGCACAGCCCACAGCCTCCCGGTGGGCAGAGACCTGGGACTGGTGCTACAGGGCTCTATGCGTCCCACCCCCAGGACTCAGGCAGGCCCATCACTGCGCAAGGTGCATACCTGCACTCCCACCTGTACTGAGGTGAGATAGGGGCTAAGGACGAGTCGCTTGCTCTGCTAACATCTGGGCCCAGAGAGCACTCTTTGTGGGGAGGGGCTGATGCCTCACTCAGCACAGAAGCCATGAAGGAAGGAGGGAGGGGGCCCACACCAACCCTCAGAGGGGGCTGTTCAGTCCAGGGCATCCGTGTGCAGACTGAGCAGGGGAACCTACAACCTGGAGGAGGTAGGACTCGGTGCTGCTCCTGCCTGGTCCACCTACCTCATAGGTGAGGTGAACCCAAGGTCTAGGAATTGTGTGTGCCATGCTGAAATCTGTCAGCTTGTTAGAGCTGGGCAGGAAGCATGAGGGAGACCACCATTTTGCATTTAAGCAGGGTCTATCTTTGTGGATGACTAGCCAGGGGGATCCTAGGTGGGCAGGGGGTCTGTGTTGGATTTTACATAATCATCGAGCGCCCTGGAGGTTTTAAACCAAACCAACACCATGTGTTTATTCAAGGGGAGCCTGTGCAAACAGGGCCTCGGACACACCGGGGTGGACTGAGAGGCTGCCTCCAGCTGGTACTTTTCCCTCTGCCTTTGATCCTCCCTTGTGAGATAAAACGCATCAGCGACCAAAGCCTCTGGCCTGAAGCCATTCTTATGAAGTTAGTACTGCTCCCGAGAGGCAGTAGAGTCAGAATCAGGTCAGGCAGCCACAGCCCAGGCCAGCACCATAGGAGGAGGCAGCGAGGACCCGTACCCCTGCCTGGGCCTGACCGGTGTCCCCTATCTCCTGGTCCCCTTGAGGTTTTGACGAAACCTCTGAAGGGACAAGTCGCCCCTGCAGCCCCTCCCATACTCACCACATCACAAGACACTTGGAGGCCCCCATGTGGCTTGGGGTAACATCTCTGAGGTCCCCAGGACCCTTATGGTCCCGATTCTGCTGCCCCTTTCCACCTGGGCTCTCCATCTGGGCATGGTCCAGGCCTGGGTTTCTTCTCCTTTAGCCCCTCCTTCCTTCCTGTCCAGGGCCCAATACCCCCCAAGTCTTTCTAGGGGTCCAGCCTCCATGGGAGGGGGTTTGGATGCTCGGAGGAAGGAACGTCACTGTGGCCTTGTAGGAATGCCACCTACGGGCTCTGCTAACACAGACATTCCCAGAGGCCTGCAGAACAGCCGTACTGGTACCTCACTGGGTCACTGGAGCTGTGATCAGTGTGGGCTCAGAGCATCAGGATGGGGCTTGCAACTGCTGCAGGGGGACCTCACCCCACCACTGAGCGACTGGACACTGCCATGCTCTACTTCAGGGGCAGGGACGAGTGTCTTCCACTCCTCCATTGAGGGGGAGACAGTGCTGGATGCAGGACAGGGCAAGGACTTACTGAAAAATCTGTGTCTTCTGCCTTCAGGTGGTCCGCGATGTACTGGACGCCTTCCACGGCCCGAGTCAGGGCCGGTGACAGGGGCAGGTGGCGGCGGGGCACTTTGGCATTGTGGGCCGTGAGCGTGGAGGTGGCGGAGGTGGCGGGTGGCTCCTTCTTGCACTTGCACTTGTAGGGAGAAGGCTGCTCTGGGGCCACAGGCTCAGTGGAGAGTGCAGAGGTCGGGGAGCTGGCCACCTGGCCATTAGCCTGGGCAGAGGACTCCTCTCGGTCACTGCAGTACTGGACACTGCGTGATCGCCACCGGACACAGCCGTCCTCTGCCCTGCTGGGGCTAGGCATGTGTTGGATGCTCAGGGACCTGGCCTTGACCAGTGCCTTGGTCTGGGCATTGCTAGGCAAGTGGCTAGGGCTGGACGAGGAGCAGACACTGGTCTTCCCAGGCTCATCGGGCTGGAGAGTGGGGGGCTGCTCTGAGGACAGCTTCACTGGCTCCCCCAGTGAGACGAAGAAGGATGGGGAGGGGGAGGGATCCCGGCTCAGGAAGCCAGGTTGGCCCTCGGGCTCCGGCCAGAAACGAGGGGCATTGGCCATCTTGTGCATGGACTCGATGAGCCGCCGGCAGTTGTCCTTGACCACAGATGGCCGCTTCATGAAGAGCAGGCGAGGCACGATGTCCAGGAAGACCCTGCGTACCCAGGCGGGCATTGTGTGTGTGCGTGGGGAACGGTGGTGCACGTTAAGCACGAAGACAGTGATGATGATGGACAGAGTGACGAAGATCATGGTGAAGAGCAGGTACTCTCCAATGAGCGGGATGACCAGCGAGGTGGACGGGATGATTTCAGTGATGAGCAGCAGGAAGACCGTGAGGGAGAGTAGCACGGAGATGCAGAGTGTGACCTTCTCACCACACTCGGACGGCAAGTAGAAGACCAGCAGGGTGAGGCAGGAGATGAGCAGGCAGGGGATGATGAGGTTGATGGTGTAGAAGAGAGGCAGCCGTCGGATGATGAAGGCGTAGGTGATGTCTGGGTAGACCTCAGCGCAGCACTCGTACTTCTTGGTGTTGTAGTTGCCCACAGCATCCACAATAACCCACTCGCCACTCTCCCAGTAGTCCAGCTGGTCCACACGTCGGTGCATGCTCACCAGGTCGATCTTGGCTTTGTCGTATGTCCAGGACCCAAACTTCATGGTGCAGTTCTGCTGGTCGAAGGGGAAGAAGGTGACATCGATGCTGCAGGAACTCTTATAGATGGCCGGGGGCGTCCACTGGATCCGCCCATCATGGAAGAGGTGGGCTTTGGTCAGGTGGGTCACTGCAAAGTCCCCATCAGCACTGGGCAGGAAGAGGAAGGAGTCACGGTGTGAGGCCCACTGACGCTGAGCCCTGTCCGAAGTTACCTGCAGCCCTCAGTGTCCCGTGCCCTCCATGGCCTTGCCCGCCTCTCAGGTCAGCAGAGATGTCAGATGTCACATCCCCTCCACACACCTGCACAGAGCTGGGCACGTGACCCTGGCTGGTGAAGCACTCTATGCCTCAGTTTACCATCCCTTCCAGGAGCCTCTGGGTACACTTCATGATTTCTTGTTGCCTGATTACGAGCTATTAGCAGGACCAGTGGGCATTCTGCTGACCATGGCACCTCAGCCATCAGCATGTCCCTACCGGAAGCTTCTCACTGCTGAGAGGCTGACCCTTTGAGGGTCCACCCCTTACCAGAGCCTGCCCACCCTCCACTTCCTCTCAAACCCACTCCCCCACAAGCTGCACCCCTCCCAGTGCTACAATGCACCTGCTAAGATCTTTCTAAACCCAGTCCGCAACCCCATTCAGTTGTTACAGAGGGTCAAGACCATGGCCGAGACTCAGCATCCAGGTCACCCTCCCTGGGCTGGTCAGTGTCCACTCCTATGGGCTCCAGCTGGTTCCCAAAGATCTAGCTCAAGTGCCGCCGCTTCCCCAGGGTCTTGGCAGCACTGGCCACTCAGTTCTTGGAGCTCAGGAGCCAGGCCAGCCCCTATGCTGACCAGGACCTGATCCAGCCAGCCTTCAAGGCCCCACATCTAGCCCTTCACACATTCGCAGTGCCCACCAGCCCCTGTCAGCACTGACGTCACCCACCCACCCAGCAATGCCGCTCCAGACCGGAGCACTGGATGCATGTCAATGAGGGGGCAGCGGTGGGACCCCCCCTATTCTAGGACCCTGTGCAGGGAACAAGGGGGAAGCCTGCATGGTGCCGCAGACGTAGGAGCATGTGGAGCTGGGCTCCAGAATCACAACCATCCATGTGGCGGAGTAGTCGCCTGTGTGTGCAGTTGGTCTGCAGGGCTGAGGGACAGGCTCCACTAATGGGCAGTGTGGGTTGGGAGCTCTCAGATCCATCTGAGTTGATTCCACCAAGGAAGAGAGCCCACTTAAGGGTCAACACCTCCCCACCAGCCCCAGGAGTTGCACTGCGCACCCCTAGCCCCCAGCTGCAACTCTCACCCCCCGTCAGACATAGCTAGGATTCTGCCCAACTACCCTTCCCCTCCCTGGTGAGACTTTGGGGGCCCCACCTTCAAGTGCAAGCCTCTGAACTTGGTGTCTGGTGTCCTAGCCCACCCTCAGCAAGGGCAGCAGGGCTGGGACCACCTCCTACTTGCCCTGTGACTGGTCACATCCCAACACACAGGGCACCCAGTGCGGTCTGAGCAAGGGCCCAGGGTGCTCGGGCTTGGGGACACTTGATGACCTGTGCTCCGAGTGTGACCAGCCTCACTGTGATCCCCCAGCCAACACTGGGAGGGCCCCAGCTTCTTCCTGAGGCTGGCGCTGCCCATCCCAGAGGCCCCATTTCCCAGCCCCAGCACCTCAACAATCTCCCATAACCTGAAGGTCCCTTCCACATAATACTGCACTTAGGAATGTTGACACTAGGTCGGGGGTTGTGGGCTGCTTCCCTGAAGGTCCCATCTTCAAGGGGATTCATAGTGGGCAACAAGGCCTCAAGTGGACGTCCCCCCTCCAGCAGAGCAGCCAGGCCTGCCCCACCTCCAGTTTCACTGTAGTCAGCTGATGGGCAGCCACGTTCAGGCCCATACCAGCCAGCAGCAGCTGCCCACTCCTCTGGGAACAGCTTTCCAGAACAACTTCCAGCTCCCTTTGCCCTTATGCCACCCAACAGCCTCCTCGGCACTGACCCATCGCCAGCTGGGGTTCATGCAGAAAAGAAAAACCAAAGATGGTGGCCCAGGGTGTTTACACTCCAAGGCCACTTGTCTATCGAGTTAGTTTGGTGCATGTCCTGGCCAGTGCACACAGGAGCACATAGTAACTCAGGTGTATTTGGGAAATGGGGGTACCGGTTGGCAGGAAGTTGGCGTGGGTCCTGGACAGTCTGGGAGCTGGAGACTCCAGAATCCTGGGTTCCCAGGAAGCCACTGCAGAAGGGAGAGTGGCTGGTTGAAGCTCACTCCGGCCAACCCTCCTGCCCTAATGCATCCGGGAACCATCCCAGCCCCTTCCCAGAGGCCCTTCACTGCTATTACTGGAACCAATTAAAGGCAAGGGGCCAATTTTTCCTAATCTAATAGATTAGGTGGGATGAGGCTGAGCAGGGTCTTTGTGCAGGAGCCCTCTGGGAAGGAGGGAGTCGGGGCGATGAAGACAGAGGGCGTGAGCGCTGCTTATCTTTTTGTTGGTCGGCTCCTGGAGGCTGCGGAGGCTGCCACGTGAGACTGGGAGATATGGGGCCAGCAGGGACTTAGACTAGAGAGGGCCTGTCTCAGGGACACCGGGTAGTCTGGAGTCCTCATCTACATACCAGCCTTTAGCTTAGCTGTCAGGCCTCAGGGAGGGACCTGAGCCAGCGTTGTTTACTCAGGAATGATGAGCTGGGTTTGGGGACCCAGCAGTGACGCTCGGAGCAGCCCTGAGTGGGACGTGGTGGTAATTCTCAGACAGCCCTGGGTGGGGGACCTGGCGATGACTCTCAGTGGGGACCCAGTGGCTTGAAGAGGAGAAGGCACAGGGATCTTGAGGCAAAGGGAAGAAGGGATCTGGAACTCTGGTCCACTCCACTGGCCCTAAGGATACGTCAGTGATGGGTCTGCCAGGGCCTGGCACTGCTCTGTAAGTGACGGAACAGGAAGGCCATTCTGCGGCCAAAGCCCCACAGGGAGGCTGGACTGAGGTGGTGACTTCAGTGCAGCTCTGCCCCTTCACCCCATCACCCGCCTGGCTGCTCCCTGGGACACTGACTTGTTATAGAGGACAATGTCTGGCCTCCAGATGAGCTCCGAGGGGATCCGGACTGATGTCACATTCTCATAGTCGGCTGGATCCCAACGCAGTTTGTAGTCATGCCATTCCTGGGGGTGGGGGGATTGGAGGGAGACCGGAAGTGAGAGGGGGAGGTGAAGAGGGGACAAGGTATGAGGGCTGGGGGTGAGCTGTCCTCCCCACTCACCTGCTTCACCCACACGTTTGTTGTCATCATCTGGTTCTTCTCGTCCTAGGGCACAAGAAGGAAGGAGGCTGAATGCCCTGTCCTCACTGGCCTGGGGTTTCCTGTCCACCATGACAGCCTTGATCACAAGGGCTTTGGGTAGGTCATGGCTGTGCATGATGGGTGCAGGTAACTAAAGGAGTGAGCACCTTGTCCCTGGAGGCAACCAAGCCCAGAGCATAAGACAGACAGGCATGAATGTGGCAGTATAGTTCAAGAGTTCCCAGACTTGCATAAGAAAATTAGGGGCAAGGGTCAGCCGCCTTCACAGGCAGCCCCAGCTAAGAACATGAGGTGGGGAATAAAGGCTCCATATCGGCCCCTGCTGGGATGGGGGAGGGGGGGGTGTGCCCTGCAGACAGTGCCCTGATAGGAGCAGAGAAGGGGCTGAGGTCACACTCAATAGGGAGATGAGCAGGCACCAGGTCCCCTGTGGAGGAGCTGAGCCCCTGGTTCTATCTGATACCCTTCAAAGTCCCTTCCAGCTCCCGTCTCCTTCATCTAAGGACTAGGTGGGTGAGGCCCTATCCTAACGGGGTGACCATCGTGGTTTGGGATGTGGGTGGCCATCCTCCAAGGGCAGGGAGCCAAAGAGAGATCACAGGCTCAGAGGCTCAGGAGAAGCGGACACTATGGGGTGGGGGCCACGAGGCTATGCCTCACCTCTTAAAGCCCAGAGTTAGCTACCTTCCCTAGACTGTCCATCCCTTAGGTCCTTGATCCCAGGCAACTTGACCACGTGAACATGTCACAAGGATTCAGTATCATGAAGGTTGGTGAGGGGTCTGGGGGCCCAGCATCCTTGGACACAGGACTGACCACAGGCTCCTTGTGGTCACAGGATCTCCGAAGATGGCACCTGTATCTGCAGTTCTCACACAAGCTGGGATCCTCTGAGCCACTAGGCAGCCTGTCAGAGTGCCCTCAAGGAGAGCAGGCCTCCCACAACTCACACGGCTATGTGTGTAGACACGTGTACTTGTCTGTGTGTTAATGCTTAGGGCCTCAGTGTCCCGGAGCAGGGCAGTCCCATACATTGGTCATCTAGGGTGATTGAGTCACTGGACACAGAGATCATGTGCTCTCAGGAACAAGAAGATCCCTGCCCCCCAAGGCTCCTGTTCTAGCCCCTAGGTCTACGCTCCACACTCTGCCCCTCCTACCATGGGGGCAGGACCCTGACCTGGACATGCCAAAGTCTGCCAATGGCACATGGTGCTTGTTAGTGTGCATGTATGTGTACGTGAGTGCTTGTCTCTGTGTTGGAGTATGCATTGCACATGAGTGCATGTGTGCTTGACATGTGTTGGTATGTACTTGCATGTGTATAATGCTTGCTCATGTGTTCATGTGTACACAGCATGTGTGTGCATGTGTAAATGTATGTTTGTCTCTGTGTTACTGTGCAGGTGTGCTAGTGTGTGCATGTGTGTACACGTGTTTGTTTCTGTTTGTGTGTATGTGTTATTTGCCTCTATGTTGGTGTGTGCACCGCATGTGTGTACATGTGTGCTTGTCGTGTGTTGGTATGTCCATGTGCAGATGTGTGTACATGAATGTGTATGCATATTGCTTGTCCTTGTGTTCGTGTGTACATAACATGTGTGTGCACATGCATGCACATATGTATATATGAGCCTGTCTCTGTGTGAACATGGTATGTGTGTATGTATGTGTGATTGTGCTAGCATGTACATGAACATATTGCTACTGTGTGCATGTGTTTATGTGTCTCTCTGTGTGTGTGTGCATGTTGTCCATGTGTTGAAGTGTGTGTCCAGGCATGTGTGCTCGTGTGTTTGTGTGTGCGTGCACAGGTGTTTGTGTGTGCACATGCATGTGTATATGGGCATATGTGCTTGTTCATGTGTCAGTGCAGGTCCTCATCTCCTGGACAAAGCAAGGTTGGAAGGTGTGTGGGGGGTAGGTAGAGTGAGCATGATGGGCATCAGAAAGTCCACACTTCAGTGGACAGACCCAGAGCCTGGACTGGCAGCCACACATGGCCTCTAACTATTGTTGATGCACCGGTGGCTCAGTAAAGAGGGAATTCTCTCCTCTCCAGGCAGGCCCTAGACACCTGGGTCAGGGTCCTGGGAAGTCATGGGTGGGCTTTTAGAGACATCTGTCGGTTCCTGCAGCTGAGCTAATCCCCTCCCCCAAATTCCGGCTCCCTCCAAATCCAGTGAGCTGGGACTCCGAGGCAGAAGTCCTTAGCCTTTCAACCCTCCAACCATCACTCTCTCCCTGACCAGTGGAAGGTTTCGGAGGCCACTGCCCCAACCCTGCCCTGCTGCCTAGGAATTACTCACCCTTCCCTCCTGCCAGGCTGGAGCTCAGGGAAGGCTCTGAGGTCAGGCCTTTGGGATGCTGCTGGAACCTCAGAGCAAGACCCCAAGCTGTGCACCTCAAATGGGGCAGCCAAGACCACCAGGAGAAGTAGATCAGTGCCCACTGCCCCCGGCAGGGATGGTCCAGTCAGCTCGGACTGAGACCTTCCAGTGTGTTCAGTTCTTCTACATAAGCTCAGGCCCATGTCCACCATGTACAAGGCCCCAGTATCCTGCAGTTGGTTCTCAGAGAGGGGTTCCTCCAGGGGCCCCACCAACCCTGAAGCTCCTCAGCTCTTGCCCAATGTAGGTGGCATGTTCTTCCAGTGGCCTCCTCCTTCCCTAACCAGGAATGCAAATGGATCGTGAGGCTAACTGTGGCATCTCTGGGCCTCAGAGTCCTAGTGGGGCCTGCTGTGGGAGGGGTTGCTGCCCCTGCCCCACCCAGTCAGCACAACGTGCACTAAAGCTTAGACCACAGCCCCAGATGACTGTCCCTCAGGGTTGATGCTATTGGCATGATTTGGTAACCTGGCTACCTTAAGCTTTTCTGTTCTGAGAAAAGGAGGCGGCCGGGTTGGCTCCCTCAGAACCAGGCCCATCCGCAGGAGATGGAGGCTGGCACTCAGCAGTGTTGGACCTCAGGCAGGGCAGAGGTAGGAGCTATCAGCTCAAGCCACTGGCAAGGTGACACACAGATGCCCGCCCTGCCTAGACCTCCTGCAGTCACCTCTAGGGGACATCATTCCCATCAGCCAAGCCCCCAGACCCCCTCTCCTGGCTGCACCTACCACATCGATGAGCTGGGCAATGGACAGGCCGAAGCGGACCAGAACCACATCCGAGATGTTGGCCACAGGCCTGGACCACTTGTTGTAGCCAGAGAAAAGCTTCCCTAGCAGTCGTTCCTCTGCATGGGCCCGGGTCTCCACGTGGCTGTTTGCTGTAGGGGGGTGGGGAGCAAGGGTTGTGGGCTCAGACTCCCCTCAACCCTCCCACCACCAGGTCTTTGCTCTTACTGCCACCCAGCACTCAGCCTGGTTTCCCTACAACCCTTTGGTATCAGCGGAATTGCCTTTGGGGGGGCTTTCTGGCTCTTTTTCCGCCTGTACTAAACCTAAAGTAGTGGGAAGCCAGGGAGAGCCCCTAGCTGCTCACTGAAAAGGTGAGATAAGGCTTCAGGGGGTCTGCAAATATCCAGGGATCATCCTAGACCCCTCAACTCCCAAGCCAGAGCGTCTTCCAAACTGTGAGGGGCAGTCCATGGTCTCTGAATACGAGTGACCAAGGCAGGCGCCCACCCAGAGAATGGACCAAGGGAAAAGCAGTAGGACTTGCTGTCCCAGAGAGCCTGGGGCAGCCCAGGAGGGCGGAGGGGGAAAGCCGGCGCCAAGGGCAAGCACCGCCTCCCTCCTAACCTGGAGCAGGCATGGGGGAGGGGTCTGCAGGACAATGTGGTTAGATAGAGTCAGGATCCCCTCTACCTCCCTCCCAAGTCCCCCTCCCGTGTCCACAGCAGGATTAACTCCTTTCTCGCCTAGCTCAGCCCAGCCGGTTGCAGGACAGCCGGTGCCGTACGTCTCTAGTGGGGAGCCTCGCCGCTTCCCGGTTGCGCACACCAGTGGCTTGGGACTGCAGCCAGGAGCCGTCTCTCCTATGAATCCGGTGATCCGGGAAACCGGGGCTGTTCGCACCGGGCGAAAAAGGATCTGGCAGAGCCCCGAAACTTACCGGGCAGAAGGCTGGCCCAGAGGAGAAGCAGCAGCAGCGGCAGCGGCGGCGGCGGCGCCCGGGAGCCCCAGAGCTCCATGGCTCACCCAGCGGCTCCAGACGCGGGCGGCTCCGGGTTCCGCCGCGCCCCTGCTCCGAGGCCAGCGCGCGTCCAACTTCAAGCCCCGGCCCTGAGCCGGCCGCTCCGTCCCGCCCGCTCGGCCGCTGCTCCCGAGGAGCACGTTCTGGGGCCGGTGCTGCGCGGCTGTGGCTTGGCGCAGCCCCTCCAGGACGTGCCGCCTCCAGCCTGCTAGGAGGGGGAGGGGAAAGAGGGGAGGGAGAAAGGAGTGGGAGGGTGGTGCCACGCCAGGAGAGGGGACACAGAGGCTGTGTTCTGCCCGCTTCAGGGTAAAGTTTTCCATGTCCTCCAGGGGTTCGGGACGTGCTGAAGGGATATGGGGACCCCGTGGTCACTGCGTGTGACTGGGAATCCCGGGCTGGCCTGGTTTACAGATCACAAGATACTGAAAATCCCCAACACCCTGTCTTCAGCCTGGGTCCCCAGCCGCCTGGGTGGAGGCGGGGCGTGCACCTGGGGACTCCAGGAGGGAGTTGGGGTGCCCCGTGTGCTTGTGGGATTCCATCAACCCTACTCCGAGCCAACCTTTGCATTTGGGAATCACTAGACCCTTGTTTCCTCAGCAGCGAGACGTCAGAAAGAGCCACCACCCTGCCCCCACCGCCACCACCACCATATGGGTCTGTCTCTCAGACCCAGACAGCCCAGCGCCTGCGTTTTGGGAGGCCTCATGGGAAGGGGAAAAGACGCCCTGGTGTCCCCTCTCTCCCATTCCTGGGCAGAGCGCCTCTTGGTGCGTAAAGGTCCAGTCTGAGACCAGGGTCCGCTGACCCCACTCAGAGCCATGGATGAGTGGCTCCCCTCCCACACACTGTTAGTAGTGAGGGTCTGGGACATGGCTCCTCTAGGTCATGTGGAGGTGACCACTGCAGAGATAGCAGGTTCTGGGAGAGGACCAGAGTCTCTGGGGCTTTGTGCTGCTGGAAGGACATGGAGGAGGGGAGAGTTCAGTGGGGGTGGAGAACAGAGAAGAGGGGCTGGAGAGGGGTTCCTCTGGCTTTAGCCTCTGGATTCCCCTCAGTCTCCCTTCTCTCCTTATTGCCCCCATATGTGGTATGTATGGACAGAATGTCCTCCAGAGACCTGGGCCCAGCATCCTCTGGTACCGCCCCCCCACCCCGCCCCAACCCAGATCCTTAAGTCTAGCCTATTGTATTTTTTGTGTGTGTCAAACACCCTGGGGGCTCTCTCACTGTCCTCATTTTCCCCCACAACACAAATCCCTGGCATTGTGAGACCTCTGTCTGTCAGCCACATTGAACCCACTTCAAAGCAGGCTCTGCCAGGAACTAGGGAGCTGTCCAGGAGCTGAAACCTGAGTTGAACAGGCCAGCCCTTCATTGCCTTTGGGAGGTTTTGACCAGACTGAAGTGAGGCCAAGCCCACTGACCTCTGCACCCCTTCAAGGCCTGGGCAGAGGCTCAGGAAGGTCGAGGGGACGGGGTGGATGTGCTGGTAACTCCCAGACTGGAGAAGGTGTGTTTGTGGGTTTTGTTTTGATTTCCTGTCTTGATAAGAAACACCCTTCTTTTTCATGAACAGTGCTTGTGTGACAGACACTTTGCGAAGCTGATTCCACATTCTTCTATTATTAACAGGCCATGGAGCAGACTTAGCATTACAGAGGCTGGTGTTGCTGTGTGTTGCCAAGTCAGTTTCCACTCATAGTGACCCTGTGCGGGGTTTCTGAGGAACAACTGGTGGCTTTGAACTATCAACTTTGTGGTTAGCAGTCCAGTGCTTAGGATACAGAGCCACAGCAGGACTCCTGGATGGGCTGGTACAAGTAAGATGAGAGCTCCCTGGGCCTCTGTTGCTTCGTCCCTGTCTTGTCCCCAGGATCTTCTCCATTGTCCGAGCAGAATCAAGCCAGAGGCCAATACAGGAAGGCCTCTGAAGAGAAGGCACATACCTACACACACGCAGTGGCCAGGCAATGGCCTGTGGGATTTGTTGAAATCTGATTCCAGAAACCATTTGTCTTAGTTCCTTGTGGGGGGGCCATAGCAAAGTGCCACAGACTGGAGGGTTTAAACACCGAAATCTCTCCTCTGGAGGTCAGACATCTGAATGCAGCTTGTTGGCAGGGACATGCTGTGTTGCCCGCCTCCAGAGGCAATGGGGAGAACCCTTCCTTGCCTCCCCAGCTTCGGGTGGGTGGCCCCTTCCTTGCCTCCCCAGCTTCAGGTGGGTGGCCCAGGTGTTCCTTGGCTTTGGGCTATGTCACTCCAGGCACTGTCTCCATGGTCAGTGGCATGTCCTTGTGTCTGAGCCTGTCTCTTTTCTGATTCTCCTTATAAAGACACCACTCAGACAGGATCCCTGACCCACTACAACCTCATGTGAGCAATTGCATCTAAAAAGATGTATTTCCAAGCACTCTCGCATTCACAGGTGGAGGAGCTAGTTCCTGAACATATCTTTGAGGGGCTACAGTTCAGTGCATAACACCCACCCACCCTGAGGGGCTGGTCAGTCTAGGGTGAGGCCCAGAGAGCTGTGGCAAGATTCAAACGGATCTTTAGATGCCTCTAATGCTTGAGGACTCAGACCTCCCTCTGGGAGCCCAGACTGTGAACCTGTGAGGCCCAAGGACTGCTGTGAACGATAAGACCAGGATACTCCCTCTGACCAAAGCCCCTCTGGGCTGGGTGAGGCTGCAGGCATTTTGAGGAACCTGCAGCAGGCTCACAGACTTAGCCGGTTCTACCTTCTCCATTTTCATTTCCCTTTCACCAATGATGGCTCTGTGCCAGTGATCCGCCAGACCATCTCAGAGAGATACTCTCATTGGCGCATCCTGCATGTGAGACCCCCAAGAACCCAGACCAGACCAGTAGGCCCATCTCTTGGTGCTGCAGGCCACAGGGTCAGTGAGGGGCCTGAGGCCTGTGCACACTCCCACATCTGGGCAACTGCTGCCTTTCCCTGTGGATTTGCTAATGCATCAAGATTAATTGGGTCTAACTCATAAATTTGCACAACCCCTTCTTCCCCACCTGCGCCCAGCTGGAAAGCACTAGGTTCAGGAAGCTAGTAATCATCTTGGAGTCTGAGTTAGCCTCTTGCTCCAGGTCTCTAGGCCCCTCCCTCCACTACTCCTGAAAACCCCCGCTTCAAAGGAGACCCAATTTGCAGTCCTGGAGAAAGTACTTCTGAGTCCCAAGTCCTTTGTGCTTGGAGCAGCATCCACCAAGCTGGGGGCACCTAGAGGGAGGGTGGGTGGAGCCGACCCCCTGCAGACACCTCCCTGCAGCCCCCTTCTCTGTCAATATCAAGGCCAATTCCAAAGACAGCCTCTGGCTAGCTCAAGAATTATTGCCACGAGGAACAACACTGAGGGGACATGCTCCTCCCCCTCTCTTTGCCCTCTTTACCCAACACCCCAGTCCCAAGGACATTTCTATGGTAACCAGTTGTTAGCTCAAACTAGGATTCTATCAAAGGTGGGAGCACTGGCCTGATGTGGAGTCCCAGCTGTAGGAGTAGAGGGGAGGAAGGGGGATGGGAGGTAAGGTCATCAGGATCTTGACTGAGGGAGGCAGGTGAGATCAAGGCAGTGGAGGGAAATGACCACCAGGGACCACCGCGTGTAACCCTTTCTGCTGGGCTCCTGGCTCCCAACCCTTCACTCACGGACGGGAAGGAAAACCCCCTTCCTGCCCAAGTACACTGGCCTGCGGGGTCTCCATTTCTTACCAGGGTCAGCCACTGCCAGCTCTTTCATAGCAAACTACCCCTGAGAGAAGAGACTAATGCAATGCCCAGCGCCTCCTCATGAATTAATTTTCAGTATGTGTTCTTTCTTAGCATCCTCCCCATAATACTCTGTCTCATAACAATGCTTCATTTTCCTCTCCCCAATAATATAAGACCAGGGAGAGAGGATCTGTGCTTTATCACAACACCTGACTCTATCACAACCCAACACATAAATGTTCAATAGATGTGTTGAATGTACAGGTGAATGAATGGATGGATGGATGGTTGAGTGGTTGGGTGAATGGATGAGTAAGTGAGTGGGAGGTTCTATGCTTCGTTCATGATGCCTGGCACTTAGTTGTTGTTGTTGTTAAGTGCCATTGAGTCAGTTCTGACCCGTAGTGACCCTGTATAGGGTTTCTGAGGAGCAGCTGGTGAACTTGAACTGCTGACCTTGTGGCTCAAACCGACTTTTCCAGTGCATTAACCTACAGCTCCACACCAGGACTCCTGGCACTTAGTAGGGGCTGGGTAAACTGGGTGGCTGGATGGATGAGTTAGCACAGATGAGTTTGTTGGATGGATGAGTGGTTGGGTGAATGGTTGGTGGCTGGGCAGATGACCTGGAGAGTAAATGGGACTCTATGTTTTGTTCATGATTCCTGGCACTTGGTAAGGGCTGGGTAAGTGTGTTGAATTCATGGATGGGTGGATGATTAACTAGGCACCGATTATAGAGCCTTGCCCTGCTGTACACCAGTCCCTTAGCCTTGCTTGGACTTTGACATGCAGGTTGAGTAGGTACACAGGTTTTGGGGGTGAGCCCCAGGTTTACGACAGGTAATAGGATATAAGGCACAGTACCTAGAAGAGGGAATGATGCCTGTGTTTGAGAACAGGCAGGAGCAAGGACACTGGCCTGGGGCCAGGCTCAGTGCGGTCAATTTGACCTCATTGATTTCTCTGTCATCTGTCAGGAATGACTCAGGTGATTTCAGTAATTCTTACCTGCCCTCGGATCAATGGTTGTGTTGCCATCTGGCTGCCCAAATCTCTTGTGCCCCGCCCTCTATCAATAAGTGAAGCCTGCCCACCAGAGCTTGAAGGGCAATTGGGTTGCCTGTGGCCACTCTTCTCTGTGGTACCTGTCACCCAACAGGGTCTGGAGACATCACACATTTCCTGGGGACCTTGTCAAGCTAATGCTCTGTGTCATTTGTGAGTTAGATCTCTGGAGATTGTTCCTCCAAAGACTGGTG